CTGTCAAGAAAATGTGTTTCATAATGTTGTACCTAATATTTTGTTTTAAAACTACAACTGCTCGTTAAGATTTTTAATATATGATTATATATTAGATCGATCCCGGTACATAGTAGATTAACGTGAATTTTATATCAAATTAAAGTAGACGAATACAAATCAATAACATCTCACTTGATCTAAAATATTAGACACAATATTTAAATATGTATTCTTGTTGTACTCGTATTACTATTTAATTTAAAAACAGGACTTTTAACAAATATTTTTAGTTAACTTTTTAGATGAATATACTTAGATACCATCTTCCAAGTACCTAATTTAAAATTTTGAAAATATTTTAAAAATTTCAAAAATTATATTCGCTTTTCAGATTTTGACCTAAGTCAACTCATTTCATTTTGACTTGTATATACATAGCTATTTAAAAAAAAAAAACATTATGATGCTAAAGAACTTTATGAATAATAATAGAATTTTAAGTAATTACTAGCAACTAAGTTAACGCATATCAGTTCTATACAAAAATAAATATGAAAAGGTCATCAAAATTTTATTTTGTAATTTGTAAATTGTCATATAGAAAACACTACTTATATATATAAAAAAAATTGTTTAATTATTAAAAAAATAACAAATATACTTAAATAAGATCAAAGATATTATTTTTTTTTTTTAAATAAGTTAAAAAATTTTGTAAATAAAATAGATGACATAAAATAAATTTATTAATATTTAACAAAAAAAAAAATTTGCAGGAAAACAGGGCGCCAAATTTTAAATTAAATATAGAAAATAAAGGAAGACAAAATTATTAAATAAAAAATAATACAAGTACTTAAAAGAAAATATTAAATAACGTAATTAATGTCAGAAGAAAAAAAATTTTTTTTTTTTGTTTTCAAAAATAATTTTTTAAAATTAAAAAAATTTTCGAAAAAAGCATGACCTATATGAAGAACACACAAGATATTTTTTATTAACAAAAAATTAAATATAAAATTCGTATGTGTATGAATGTGTTGTGCATGTGCCCCATTGTTATATCGTCATCAAAACTCATTATTTATTTTAAAATATAACTTTATTTCCAAAAAAAAAAAAATATTTATTTTATATTCTGTTTGTTTTATTTAAATAGAATTTCAGTAAATAATATTCAACTAATTTTTGATGTCATTTCAACCTAAAAATTGTGTTAAAATAAAATTTTAGGTTGTTTTTCTTTAAAAAAAATAAAAAATAAAAAAAAAAACAAAAGGAAAATATTTTTATATTTTAAATATTTAATCTTATACAATAAAAATTAAGAAATGTGAAAATGTGAAAAATCTTTTATAAAAATGAAAAATATTAAGAAAAATAAGAAAAAAAATCATAAGCATACCATTTTTTTTTTTTTGTATTTAAAAATACACCAGTCGGTCTAAAATTTCTTTTAATTTATTATTATACAATATTTTGAGAAATACATATGAGTTACATATATACACATACACATATACCTACATACATACACATACATATATATATACATATTTTTTTTTTAAATCTTTAAAAATCATTTTTAATTTTCTGTTTAATTTTTTTTAAAATATTTAAATTTTTTGGCTATTTTCTTTTTTAAATTTCTGTTTTCCAAATTAAAAAATTCAATATACATATATACTTATGTACCTGAATGTATGTATATATGTATATATACATATAGTTGTATGGATTTTACTTTAAATTTATTTTTTAGTTTTGAAAAAAAAAAAAAAAAGAAAAAATTTTTTAATATTTTTAAAATTTCAAATAAGTTTATTGCTCTTTTCCTTTATCTATCCACCTACTGTAATTAATGTTGAGTTATTTAATTTGAAATTTGTAAATTTATATACATATATATATATATACATACTTAATTGTAATTTTTGTTTATATTATACATACATACATACACACTATTTTATATTTCAAAATTTGAACACTGCTTTTTTGTTAAAAAAAAATTTTTTTTTTTTGTGACTTGCGTTCATATTGTATATTTAAATTATAATTTCATAATGATAATTATTTTTCTAAAATTTCATTTAAAATTTTTTTTTATGATTTTTAAAATTATATTTATTATATGAATTTAAGTGTTTAGATTTATAATAACAAATCAAGATTTTAAAAATTTTCCATAGCCGTATTCTTGTACAAAATATACATATTGAATAAAATTAGCAAGTAATTTAGTCTTGACATTTATTTAGGAACTGATTTCAGAATTCTTGTCTAATTACAAAAAAAAAAAATTTAAGATAAATTTGATTATATTTTTTAATTAGCTTACTAGCTGCCTAGTTATAAAAATTTAAAATTTTGTGTTCTTTTCAAAAAATATTGCATACATTAGGGGGTTGAATTTAATTTTCAATATTAAAAAATCAAAATGAAATTTAAAAAAAATATTAAAAAGATTTTCTTTATTTATTATTATAAGACAATTTCATTGATCCAGCATTCAAGTTTTGGGCATATAAATCAGAATCAACGTTTCTTACTTATTCAGTTTTTTTTCACAATAACAAATCATTATTGCAAATAGGAATAAATGGCACATCAGTTTGTGAAATGTTAATTAAATGTTAATTAAATGTAAAATTAATATGGTTAAATAAAAGAAAATAATATCGAAATTAAAGAAAACAAAGTAAAATAAAAATGACAAAATATCTTAGAAACTTAGTCAGTCAAAACTGAATTTTGTTCAATTTCAATGGTATTTAATATTTATTTATAACTAATAATAAATAACTAAGTATAACAGAAAATTACAAATATGAAAGGGAAGAGATAGGTCCCAAATCACTCATTAATGCTATTAATTTCACAGAATATATAAATTTAAAAAAACAATTATATAAATAAATTTTTTAAAACATAATGAAATTTCAATTTTTTTCAACTCTTCTTGTACCTCACAAATTATCATCTTTCATCAATATTCATAATTCAATTCTGAAATACATGTATAATATATATACTCATGTATATATATGTAAGTGTTTAACACGAATTTATTTTATCATCAAAATTCAAAGGAATAAAAGACTTGTAATGTTGAATTACGTTTTTAATGTTGGAATTTTTTTTTTCTAAATGAAATATAAAAAAAATTTATTTTAATATTTAATTTATTTAATATTGTATTTTGCATGTTTTACAAAATGTATTAATGTATATATCCTGTAAAGAATAATCATATAGATGTGATTTCATATATAAATATATATATGTAAATATTTAGAAGAACAACAAAAAAAAAAAAGCAAAAATAAGCGGGACAATATTTTCATTTTTGTGGTCAAACGTAAAAAATTAAAATTTACAAAAGAAAAAAAAATCGAAAGAGAAAATCATATAATTTTTTTTTTTTATACTTATGTTACACATTTTTATAATATTATTATAACGCATTCTATTTTTGGACCTTCATTAAAAATTTTCCATATAAAAATATTATTTTATTACAATTACAAACGTAATGACATACATACATATGTACATATACATATATATTCTATAAATTCTCCAGAAACATAAGCACAGCTACTCTTTTATAAATCTTCCAAAAGATGGACAAATTGTATATTTGTAAGTATATAAAGAACTTTATATATATATATCTCTTATATATACAAACAATTATTTATATTTATATATATAAATAACGGTATATATTATTTTAAATTTTTATCTGAAAATACTTTTACACAAAATCAAATTAAACTTATTTGTATCATTGTGTGTGTTTGTGTATGTGTGTACTTATTTATCCTTGATGATGATAGTTGAATATTCATATATTTGTTATACAAAAATGAAATGATAATAAAAATTCAAAAAAAAAAAAAGAATTTTTTTTTATTTTTTACTTGTCAACTGAAATTTTTTACAATTTACCAACAAAACCAGAAAAAAAAACGGAACAAACAAAAAACATTTATTCAAAATTTGTTTGTGGTTTTTGTTTTTGTATTTTTATCTCTTCGTCTTTTTTAAGTAAAAGAAAAGTTACAGAATACAAAATGCATTTTTTCTGTTTTGTAATTTTTTTTTTGTTATTTTTTAATGAATTTTTCTTTTTTGTGTAAATTTTCAACTTTTGATCTCAAAATAAGCAAATTTAAAAAATGCATTTGAAAAAAGGATTGTGTTTTTTTTTATTTTCTGTAAATTATTTTAATTTTTTAATTATTTTAATTAATAAAATATAATATAATAATAAAATGTAAAATTTTCTATAAAAATGAACACAAGAGAAAGAGGGAGAAATTTTTGAAAGTTTTACAGTTCTTTTTAAGTAACATTTAAATTTCGATTCAATCAAAGGATCTAGCAAACCGAATACAGAAAATATTTCAAATATATTTATACTTACTTACTTTTAAAGTAAAATTGGAAAATTTATTCCAATTAAAATTGGAAATTTGAACAAAATTGTTACAGGTTCTTGGGAATTATAGAAAAAGTCACCTATTTCTTAGTATCTAAATACTTAAACGACAATAAAAACATATTTAGAACAATCTACGAGAGTATGTGTTGGGTCGGTTGGTGCTGGGAAAAAATCAGTCCATATCGCACAACCTACTCCGTCCAATTTCCATATCTCACGACCTAGTTTAGGTAGAAGACCTGTTTAAATGTGCCAAGGGCCTATATAACTGGTTTATGCGACGTACTATAGGTAGATGAGCAGTTAAGGTTGATGAGATTTGAAGAGGAGTTCTATGGCGTTGGTAGTTGGCTCCAAATCTAAACGCCAAGAATTCTCACTGAAGTACCCCCGCACACTCACAATTTATATTGCCTTGCTAAATTTGAAAATCTTGTATATATATATTAAAATTTTGTTACCTATAATGAAATTATTAGTCCAAAATTCTTATTTTATTAAGTATTATAAATAAAAAATTTAAATTTCTTAAACTAATAAATTTTTTTTTTTTTTTATCTATTTGCAGATGAAATTATATATGAAAAAGACACAAAGAAATCATGAGAAATTAAAAATATAGAATAAATAAATTGATTGGATTTAAAAGGCAACATTTGTTTTTAAAATAAAAAAGCACAATTTATACAAATTGGAATACTTACCCTTCAAAACTAGAAGAAGTGTCAATATTGTCAAAATAAACTGACAATAAGAGCCAAATTGATTAATTAGAGAGAAACAAAAAAAAAAACACAAATCTTATTAAAAACACAAATTTCTTTACTTCACAAATTTATTTTATTTACTATTTAAATAAAAATCTTTAAAATTGTTAATTTTTTATTCTTCACGCTAGTATAGAGGGAAATAAAAACCTTCTTAAAATAATTTTTGACCAAAAATTTGAATTGGTTTGTTGTTTTTTTTTTTTCGTAAAACCAATTAATATAAAAAAAAGAAAACGTGGCTAATACGGAAAAACGAAGGAACAAAATTAAAAAACTGAATTGAAATTTAGGCTGGCTCGTAACGGTGAAACAAGGGGGGCAGAGTCTCCCGACGGTACACCAGACGGTGGAGCCACCTGTTGGTGGGCGCCCTGGACTGCTATGGGCTGTTTTGGTTCAGCTGGTTCAAAACAAACGGATGCCGCTGGTAGCGGTTCAGAAGATTCAAAAAGTCAAAAACGACGTAGCGATGCCATTACAAAACAATTACAAAAAGATAAACAAGTATATAGGGCGACGCATAGATTGCTCCTGTTGGGAGCTGGTGAATCTGGTAAATCAACGATTGTTAAGCAAATGCGAATTCTTCATGTTAACGGTTTCTCGGAATCAGAAAGAAAGCAAAAAATCGATGATATCAAAAAGAATATCCGTGATGCAATTATAGTAAGTTATTTTTATGATTTTATAATTATTTGAATAATAATAATTAAAAATAAACTTATTAATATGTTTTATTTTAGACAATTACCGGTGCTATGAGCACGCTAAATCCACCTGTAGCATTAGAAAAAAAAGAAAATGAAGCTAGAGTCGAATATATTCAAGACTATGCTTCAGGTATAAAATTTTGAAAATTATATTAAAATTTAAATTTATTTTAAATTTTTTTTCTTTTTTACAATTTTAGGTCCTGATTTCAACTACCCTCCAGAATTCTATGAACACACAGAAGAACTGTGGAAAGATCGTGGTGTTCAGCAAACATTTGAAAGATCAAATGAATATCAATTAATTGACTGTGCTAAATAGTAAGTATAGGACTCTTTATCAGCTATAATTTAAAGTATAAACAATTTCAATGAAAATTTGTTGGCAAGAATTATTACTTAAGTACTTTATTAAAATTCTAATCGATTTTTTTTTCTCTTTTATTTAATATAGTTTCTTAGATCGTGTGAATGTAATAAAACAACAAAATTATACACCAAATGAACAGGACATCTTACGATGCCGTGTCTTAACATCAGGCATTTTCGAAACTAGATTTCAAGTTGATAAAGTTAATTTCCAGTGAGTAGAATAATTTATAATAATTTTAAAATTTATTTTGTTTAATTTATTTTCTATTATATTTTAGTATGTTCGATGTTGGTGGACAAAGAGATGAACGTCGTAAATGGATTCAATGTTTTAATGATGTAACTGCAATTATTTTTGTAACTGCCTGCTCTAGTTATAATATGGTTCTTCGTGAAGATCCAACACAAAATCGACTTAGAGAGTCACTTGATTTATTTAAAAGTATTTGGAATAATAGGTAAAATTGAAAACTATTTACATATTTTTACTATTATAATTAAAAACAAAACCCTAGAACAAAATTTTAAATACTAAAACAATAATTTATTTTAATTTTAGATGGTTACGTACAATTTCAGTTATTTTATTCCTTAACAAACAAGATTTATTAGCAGAAAAAGTGAAAGCTGGTAAAAGTAAACTTTCTGATTATTTTGCTGAATTCAACAGATATCAAACGCCAAGTATGTCAATAATAATAATTTATGAATTGCAAGTGACATCACATAATAAATATATTTACAAATTTTCTCAAAACGTAGCCCTTCATCTTTATGCTTTTTCGATATTTCAAAACTTTATATAATTTTAATTCAAAATGGGGAATGTAACATCCCATATTTAATTATATTATAGCAAATGACACTTTTTAAAAATTTTATTTTAGTCTTCAATCAGGTTTTGTTGTATTTATTCGTGTATTGTCACTTGCCATACCTTACCGCCTAACAATATTTATTTGTAAATATTTTAAATTAGTTTAGCAATAAGCAAATAACATATATTGAATTTAATATACTATATAATTTAATTTTTAATAAAATTCTATTTAATTAAATTTTTTAGATGATGCGCTTATAGAACCTGGAGAAGATCCAGAAGTAATTAGAGCTAAATATTTTATTCGTGATGAGTTTTTGGTAAGACATATACATATGCATATATATATGTATATATATATCTATTTTTTTTCAATAATTTTTAATACAAATATAAAAATTTTTGTTTTTTATTTTAGCGTATTTCAACTGCTAGTGGCGAGGGTAGACATTACTGTTATCCGCATTTTACATGTGCTGTTGATACTGAAAATATAAAAAGAGTGTTCAATGATTGTCGAGACATTATACAAAGAATGCATCTACGTCAATATGAACTTTTATAGGTATTATAAAAATATAATACTCATTAATTGATCAAAAAAACAAAAACAATAATCATCATTACTTTTTGTTTTATCAAAATTATAAATATTAAAAATATTTAAAAACAAATTATCAAACAAATTGTATTTTCATATCTTAAAGAAAATAGCATTTTTATTGAGAATATAGATAATTTTAAAATTAATAATATAATTTTTAGGACACAATATATGTGTATATAAAATGTTTAAGTAAATTATTTTAAATTTAATTAAAATTATAATAATATTTTAATTTAAAGTTCTAAAAATAAATTAGTAATTTGTAATTATAAAATTTTTGGAAACATTTGTTTACTTTGTATAAACTCGAATAATAATTTCATTATTAATATAAATACAAATATCAAAAGTTTTAGGGCGTCTACCAAAATGCAAATGTTAAAGTCCAACTTGACTTATTCAGTAATACTATTTTATTCACAGTATAAAGCAATTCGATGTTAGGTCTGCATTTTGATAAACGTCCGAATATTTATTCGGTGTTATATACACCATAAAAAATTCATAAATCAATAAAAAAGGATTGTAACAATTTTTGTAGACATCAAATTGAAAATGCTATTTTTGATTAAAAAATCCTTTCAATTTTTCATATTATTAACAATAAATTTTAAAATAAATTATTTTTGTTTTCTCTCTTTTTTAGATAACATCACGCAAACTAAATTTCATAAATCACATTATAGTAAACTAAACAAAAAAAGAAAAAGCAACAAAAAAAAAAGTAAATTCGTCATAAATGAAAATCGTTGTCGTGTCTACTATCAAAATCATTTAAAAAAAAAAATTCAGAATCAGAAAATTAAAATTGAGAAAAAAAAAATACACAAAAATTATAAATTTATAATACAAAAATTTTAAATTAAACTGCAACAAAGAAGTCATAAAAAAGAAGGAAAAAAAAATAATATAAGAAATCGTACCAACTACATTTTTTTTTTTTTATTTTATAATTTTTAATTTTAATTTTTCTATTCTATTTTATTATATAAAAATATATTTATACATATATGTATATATACATTTGTTTTTAATTTTAAGGATTCAATGTAAACCAAACACACAAATTAATACAAAAAATAAATAATAAATAAAAACAAAATATAAATAAAAAAAAAACACATTTTAACAAAAAAAACACACAAAATGCAACACACAAAATAAAAACCAACAAACAAACTACCAAAACTATTATTAAACGATTAATTACAAAAGAAAAAAAATCACTCATTGAATAAAATAAAATCTAAAATACATTAATTAAAATATAATAAAATATCACACAAAGAAACATACACATGCCCACAAACAAATATACATATACGTACACACCTTCATGTATAATAATTTCCAAATACATTAAATAAATAAATATACAAATTAAAAATAAAAATTATAAAACTAAAAGTAACAAAAAATTCAGTGCAGGAAATTAAAAATTAAAAAACAAAAAAAAAATAAAAAACTTCAAATAAATAATTGTAATATTTCATTTTTAGGTTAAATATAATATTTAAATAAAGAAAAAATGCAAAAAAAAAAAAAAAAACAAAAAAAAAAATTAACAAAATAAAAAATAAACAAATTTAAAGTAAATATAAAATAAAAATTATATTTATTAAGCTTAAGTTGAAACATTTTTAAAATAAATAAATAAGATTTTTTTTTTTTTTTGTTTTTTTTTAAACATAATATTTGTGAGGAAAAGAAAAAAGGAAAAACAAACAGAAAACTAATTTTAAATATTCATTAAATTGAAAAAAAAAAATGATAAATTATTCAAAATACATGAAAAGAAAAACCAACATTTAATAAAATTAACTAAATTAAGTAAAATAAATTTCAAAATAGAAAACAAGAGAAACTCAAAAACAAAAAAACAAAAACCTTAAAAATCTTAAATTAAGAAAATAATAAAAAAGTTTATTTTTAATACAATTTTTTTTTTTTTAATTAAATACTTTATTTTTTCTTTATATTTATTTATTTTTTTTTTTGTTTTAATATTTTGTTTAGAATTTGATCTTTAGATTAATACCAGAAATATTTGAGAAATAAAAGTAAGCAATTAAGAGATCAGCGCAAATCCGAAATCTTATTTTTTTCCCCTATTGAAAAATTATCAATATACAAAACAAAATAAAATTTTATTATTAATTACAATAATTATTATTTATTATCCAAAAAATAAATCAATTTCAATTTTACTAAATTTTGTTGGTAGAATTATATGAATTATATAAATATTTTCATATAAATTATGAATATTTAAATGAATTATATATTTTCTAATATAAACACAAAATATTATTAATTTTTTTATTAATAAAATATATTAAAAATACAATTTGTTTATTAAATACAAAATATAAATTTTTATATATTAATTTTATAATATTATTTTCTTTTATTATTCGTTACTCCTATTTATAATGTGTTTGTTCTTGAGAAAGCAAAAATCATATAATTTTAAATAGAATAAGATACAACAGCCGAAAACTACATAATATAAGTATATATAATTTATTGCAAATATTAATTAAATTTTAACTATAATATGAAAAACTATTATTGTTGTTAAGAACAAGAAAATTATAAAAGCAAAACATTAAAATTCTTGTCTTCATTTTGGAATGAAATGAAAAAAAAAATTATACATTTAAATTTATTTATCGTATACTAATTGAAAACAAAACTATAAAATTTTATTATTTAATTATTTTCTTTCTTTTATTATATTGAATATCTTAATTTATATAATTGAAAATTTTAATATGAAGAATGTTACATTACATTATTTAATGCTAAATATGTTTTGCACTGTTATATGAAAAAAAAAAAACAAAAACACTATGATATTTAAAAAATTTTTTATTTTCATATTATGTTATAAATATAATGTAAATGATCCTCAAATTAAATTATAAAAAAGAAATATACCTAATAACAAAATATCTAAATTAATCATTTAATATTAAAACTATGACAAAAACACCAATATTTCTCCAAAATAATAAAAAATAAACATTACTACTATATTAATATTTTGCATATTTTACATTAATTCATTTCAATAATTTTTACCTAACATTCGACACAGAATTATGTAAAGTGACATAACTAATTATTGTTTATTATTTCTAAAATTCTAAAAAATAAACAAAATAAATAAATAAATAAACAATGGAAAACACATATTTAGCTATACAATCAAAATAAAATTAACATAAATAAATTTTATTAAAAAAAATTTAAAAATAATCATACAAAATCATATTTCAATAATTGGTACGAATTACATTATTAAATATGCAAAATTTAAATAATATAAATAAATGTACGTTTATATAATAAACAATATTTTATTCATTAATATACAACAATATTATTTGTTAATATTAGAAAATTACATTAAAAAATTCAGTAAAAATCATTAAATATGAATGATTAAATATCAAAGCAATATAATAACATAACCATAATTACATATATACATATAACGATTCAATAGATAAAACAAAAATTGTATACAAATTGTATTTCTTAGATAATAAACATAATAAAATAAAACAAAACAATATTCATTAAAAAAGAATATTTTTAAGAAAAACAAAAGAAATGAAAATTCAAATTCAAACAATAGCAAAATAGGAGAAACTAATAATGTTTTACTTTTATTATAAGGTCTTCTATGTGCATGAGTTGTCTATAAAATCTATTTCTAAATTTTATCTAACTATATCTTTTATATTATCTGGAAAACTTAATTGCTTACTCTTTCACATAAAACTCAAATACTTACTTCATTAATAAATATATTTTAAAAATAATTGATTATAAAACTTTAATAAATATTTAGAAAAATTTTTAATTAAGTAAATTTTAATTATATAAAATATATTTATTAGAAAAATTTTAATAAAAACTCTTTTTTGTTTTTTTTTTTTTTTATTATTATTATTCTAAATGTTCTTAGTCAAACTATAAATTCAATTGCAATTTATTTTACTATTGATTTTTTAAACTAATAAAATTTGTTAATTTATTGGATTCAAAATTTCCTTATTCATCAACTATAAAAACTCAAAATATAAAAGATAAGGCTAAAACATAAAAAACAAAAAAAAAAACTTTTATAAAGATAAAATATATTTTATATTTATGCTATTATACTTTTACTATTATAATTTTAACTTTATTAACAATATAATCTTAATAAATCGTTTTTAAAAAATCTTTTTCATTTCAATTTTCAATTTTTTATCTTATTTAATTATGTATTTATTTATTAACTTTCTCTTTTAGTTAATTTAAACTTTTTTAATATTAAAAATTTATTTTTGTAATTGTAGAATAAATATAAAAAAAAAATAAATAATAATAAAATATATATCTATATTTTTCTTAAAAATAAAAAATACGTACATTTATATATATATATATGTATACAAAATGGAAAACTATCATTCAATAATAAATAAAAATCAAAGCAAAAAGAAAAAAATAATAATAAAATAAATATGTATAATGTCAAATTAAAATTTAATAAAATACAAAAAAAAAAAACAAAATATACATACATAGCTAATTCTGTTTGCTAAGTAAAAGTCTAAGAAAAAAAATTTGAAGAGAATAAAAAATACAAAAAAAAAAAAATAATAATAATTATATTTTTAAACTATATTTTTGTATAAATTTTTCTTCCCAATTTATCATCTTCATCTACATCACCAATATTATAATATATATATAACATCAATTTAAAACAAATAAATATTTAAAATACAAGTAAAAGAAAAATTGTAACAAAATTAAATTTGATTAAATATCGAAAATTTGTAGGAAAAAATTTATTTAAACATAATATAATTTTCTTTTTTTTTATTTTTGTTATTTTTTGCTTTCAATTTTTTGTTTTCTTTGTAATATGCATAGATAATTAATTTTGTTATTTAATATTGTAAGTTTTAATTAAATTTTTATAAAATTAAGAAAAAAAAAACTATTACAATTATAAAATAAATTCAAATTTTCTTTTTGTTTTTTTTTTTTGTCCCTGACTTAATTTCAAAATTTAATTAAGAAAGAGAAAGAAATTCAATTGCACATTCAAATTATAGTTAATAAAATTTAAATTCCCTTTAAAAATTAAAGAAATTGAAATCATAAAAATTAAAATTCTTACACTTTTTAATTTAAAATTTTTTTAAACAATACCGCGATAGCAAGAATAAATTTCATTCAAATTTCAAATTTAATTAAATTTTACGTATAAATTAAATTAATTTATTTTTGAAAAAATTTAATTATTTAAAAAAAAATAAAATTATTTTATTTTTTAAAAATTTATTTCGCATAATATATGTATTTATTATTTTTTTAATTCATTGTAATCTCATTCCTTGTATAAAGAAAACAATAAACCGCATAAAATACCAAAAAAACAAAAAGCTAAATTAAAGTAATTTGATTTTAAATCATGTATTTTGAAAAATCAAATATTTAAATTACACAACCTTTATTATTAATTCATATAAAAATCAGTTGAATTTTCTTTCTCAGTTAAAACATACATAATATATAAATATAATTAATGTTAATAAATAATTTTATTTTTTAAACAAAATTTATTTACAAAATTTAAGTCATAAAATTTTAAACAATATCTAATACGTATAAATTTGATCTACATACATTTTTGATCTACAAATAATTAAAAACACTTGCATTATCCAACATATATCAAATTCTAGAAATAGTATGAGTTCACAATTTTTTCAGATTAAACAAATCTTTTCCTATTTTGTCATATATTTTTACAGTAACCACCACATTTACTGCCCAGTAGCGGATATGCAAATATCAATAATAAAATAAAAATGATTATTTATAAGAAATTGTTATCCC